GGGTTAGAGCTGGGAGGAATGGACTAGGAGTCACAGCTTCTGAGTTCTATCATTGGCTCTGGGTGGGGAATGGGATCTGGTGGTTAGAGTAGGAAGGGCTGGGTGTCAGGATTCCTGGGTTCTATTTCCAGCTCTGGGAGGAAACTGGGGGTCTAGTAATAAAAGCAGAGGGAGCTGGGAGCTCCTGTTTTATTCCCAGCTCTAGGGGTGAGGGGTGGGAGGCTGTCATCTGTCTGTCCCTGACTCGTTCTGTCTGGGAGCTCCCTCTGCTGTTTTCACCCTGGGGCTTGTAGCCAGGTCAGGATCCAGGAATGACTTCAGCTGCTGCATATTCTGTTAGCTGGAATGTCATAGGGCTTGTCTGAGTGTCGCACCCTAGTAGTGATGTGGGTCTTCATTGGCCTGTGCTTAATGGAGTGCTTAACGGAGCCTCTTCCAACCACAGGGTCAGCCTGTCTAGCAGCTTAAGGGACAGTTCCACCCCAAGGCTTTAGTCTTTGACAGCAGGACTTGGGGAGGGGCACTGTCTACAAGGAGGGACCCCAGCTTGGACTTTATGCCTTCCTGCCCTTCTCTTCCCCTTCCTATTCTAACTTCTTTTGCATGTCGTTGTACTGACCAATACTAATGTGACCCCCCACAGCCTCCCCTCCCTCCCATCCCCTGCTTTATGGGGAAGAGGAAATAGACCAATTGAAAGGAGTTTAACAAACCACAATCCCCCACCCCCAAATCCCTCCCCATAACCTCTCACCCATGCACTCCCACTGGGTATCAAGAAACAGCCCCCCAACAAACAGCCTCCCCAACAAGGAAAACACAACTAGTCCTCCTGGCCACCTTTCTAGTCCCCCAATAAACACAATGGTTCCTCCAGGCCAGAGCCCTCATATGCACAAGATTTGATGGGTTGAAACAAGAATTGGGGGGGATGGGGGTACAAAATGCAGCCCCATCCTGTCTCCCCCAAACCTCATGACACGGGGTTAACAATTTGTGCTAGGGTTGTTGTGGTATCTATATATCAGGGGGAAATGCTTCCAGGAGAGCCTGACTTACCTCATTCCACTGCTTCAGAGATCAAGCCTGGATCAGAACCAGCACCCAAAGCAGTGGGGTGGACTTTGGATCTGAACTAGAGCCAACACTGTGATCCGGTTAGCGAGCATTGTGGGGCAAAGCCCCCATATGTGCTGCAAGCGGTTGCTGCAGCATTGGGGTTCAGGTCCTCCCACCGCAAACAGGATGGATGTGCAGGGCATCAGGGAGGGCTGGTGGGGTAATAGAGGATTTATCTGTGTACTGATACACCCTTGGTGTGTGTGTGTGTGTGTGTACTACCACTGGAATAGGATCAGAACAGCCTGTATAGCATGAGTATGTGTGTATGTATGCGTGTACATACTGTCCCCTACTGGACAGGTTCAGAAATGCCTGTGTGTGTGTATATGCTGCTTCATAGTGAATATACAGAGGCAGTTCTGATTTTGTTCTGGGTGGTGTGTGTGTGTGTGTGTGTGTGTGTGTGTGTGTGTGTGTGTGTGTGTGTGTGTGTGTGTGTGTGAGAGAGAGAGAGAGAAAAAACACTCTCTCTGTGTAAGTACTACCCCTATTGGATAGGATCAGAACTGCCTATGTGTGCATGTGTACACTGCTTAATCCTGGGATAGAATGAGGACTGCCTCTAGGTTTGGTGATGTTCTGCCCCCTCCTAGACAGGAGCAGAATGGCCTCTGTGTGTGTGTGTGTGTGTATACTGCTCATAAATGTATTGTTCAGGACTGTCTGTATGTGTATTTGTGTCCTTCTCAATACTGCATAAACGGAGGACTGCCTGTATGTCTATTAGATAGGATCAGAAATGTGTGTGTGTGAGCATACATGCATATGTACTGCTCTCTACTGGAGATGATCATAACTGTGTGTGCGTGTGTACTGCACCCCACTGCACAGGCTCAGAACTGCCTGTGTGTGTGTATACTGTTCCATACTGTACAGAATCAGAAGTGTATGTGTGTGTATGCATGTGTGCGTGCACATATACTGCCCCCTATTGGATAAGATCAGAACTGCCTCTGTGTCTGCATGTGCGTGTACTGGTCCATACTGTATATAATCAGAACTGCCTGTGTTTGGGCATGCTTGTATGTACTGCCCCATACTAGAAATGATCAGGTGTGTGTGTGTGTGTGCACATGTGATGTTTCCTACTAGATAGGATCAAAAGTGCGTGTGCGCAAATGGATGTGTACCGCCTCCTAATGGAGATGATCATAATTCTCTGTGTATGTACTGCCCCCTGCGGAACAGAATCAGAACTGCATGTGTGTATGTGTGTGTGTGTGTATGTGTGTGTGTGTGAGAGAGATACTATAGAATCAGAACTGCCTATATGTGCGTGCTTATGTGTATTGCCCCATCCTGGACATCAGAACTGCCTCAGTGTGTGTTTATGTGTATGTGTGCGTTGCTCCCTAATAGACAGGTTCGGAAGTGTGCATGTGTTCATGTATGCCTATTGCCCCCATGTCAGATATTCATCATAACTGCTTGAGTAAGTGTGTGTATTACCCACTACTAGATAGGATCAGAACAAACTGTGAGTGTGTGTGTGTGTGTGTGTGTGAGAGAGAGAGATTGAGAGAGAGAAAACGAGAACTGTCCCCTACAGGATAGAATGAGAATTTCCTGTCTGTATCTATATGGACTGCTCCTGGATAGCTAGGATCACAGCTCTGTGTGTTTGCGTGCGTGCAAGCAAGCAGTGCCCTCTACTGGACAGGATGAGAAATACCTATCTTCCCACACACCGCAGAAAGGCTCAGAACTGCCTTCTCTTACCCCAACCTACCTCACCCTGAACAACCATTACCCTCAGACTATCTGATACCTTCCCTCCCTGTATCCCCCCTGTGGGCTGGCTATTACCCTTCCCACAGCCTCCCACTGACCAACTGTTTCTCCCTTCCTACTTCTCTCCTGGCCAACACACACACACACATGCACGCACGCCCTGTTACAGCTTCCCCACAGGCCATCTGTTACCTCCCTCTAACCCCTCCTATAATGCCTGTTAACTGCCCCCTGCTTCCCCTAGAACAGCTGTTACCCCAACTTCTGTACTCTCCACATACCAGTTGTTACCCACCCTCTCCATACAACCTTATCACAGAACAGCTGTTCCCTACACCCATACCACAGTGGCCATTGCCACCATA